CATTCTTGTGCTGATCAGGTTGTTAACTGATCACTGCTAAAGTGGTAACTAAAATATGAAGTATGGTGTTGATCAGAAAAAGCATGGATGTGAGCCCAACTCTGCCACTTACTAGTTGGCAAATCACTAAACTTCTCTGCTCCTCAATTTTCTCATTTATAAAATGAGGTTCATGATAGGATCTCATAAGATTGTTAAAATGATTAAATGTTAAGGTCAAGTTAATATTTATGACTCAGCAGACCCAGGTTTGGATCTCAGGTCCATCTTGAGTTCATAACTCATGTCCATTCCACTGGACCACAACCTTTAGACCCAAAGGCATCCACTGCAATGGTAGACTAGCAGCCAGGGAAGACTGAATTCTGAGGTAGTACTCACAATGTACAAATCAATAGTTCATCAAATCTAAAGTGTTGCCCGGATTTTTCTACATATTCCCAGGAGTCTTGATCCTCTACATGTCCAAATATGAAAATATCCATGATTTGGCATGTTTAGAAATGGCTGGACAACTATTTTGCGTCCATCATGAACTACTGGCACATCTTTCAAAGGAATATTAACAATGATGGCTCCTTTGTTTCTGCTCTAACCCTGATCATTTGCACCTCATCCTATAGTGCTTTGCAAAGTCTATTGCAGTTAGTATTTAATCTGTCTTTGCCAATCTATTTATCCTCGTGTCTCTAGCACTAGTCACAGTTCCTAGCATAAAATATGTGCTCTATTAATATTTATTAAATGAGTAATATATCTGATGAGCACTAAACCTGGTTAAGCTCAATGCCTAATTTAATCCTCACAACATTATGAAAAGTGTACTACCATTCTTAAAACACATGTCAGGACACCAAGGCTCAGAGTGTTGTTGGCTTTCCAAATTCCTATGTCATAGGTGGCAGAGGTAGAAATTTCAGTTCAGGTTTGTCTCAGTGATGTCTAGGTAAAGGTTTAACAACCAGCTCTATGGGAAACAAAAGCCCTGATCTGCAGCGTGTGCCAATTTCTATGACGTAAATACACCCACCATGGTCAATTTTAATCTACCAAGGTAACATCAACAGGTTCACGAAATTTAACAATAGACTCTTACAAGCTGCTGTGTGCTGGTTTCACCACACCACTAGTTTCACTTCAAGCTTAGGGTGTTGTTGTGTTTTTTTGTTTTTTTTTTTAAGATTTTATTTATGTATTTGAGAGAGCACAAGCAGGGGGAGTGGCAGGCAGAGGGAGAGGGAGAAGCAGGCTCTCCACTGAGCAGAGAGCCCGATGTGGGGCTTGATCCCAGGACTCTGGGATCATGACCTGAGCTGAAGGCAGACGTTCAACCAAGTGAGCCACCCAGGCGTCCCTTAGGGTGTCTTCGACTGAGCTAAGGCTGCTAGCCAGGCTACTAGTCCTGTCTTGGTGGCCAAAGATCCCACCAATATCTAGAACACAATCATCACCCCCTGTAACCTTTGAAAGTGGGCGACCCCTGTATTCCAGACTATTTTGCCATATTACCAACAGATCCACTCATCAGGAATGTTCTTCCTTCCCCAAAGACCAGCTACCCACTTCTGCTTTTAGACATGAATTTAGCAGAAGATTCTAAAGTAACAGCCCCCAAAGATGCCAGTCCTTTGACTTCCCTCTTTTAAAAGATCCCCCAAACAAGAAATAAAACAAAAAAAAGGAAAAACATTCCCTATTGGGAATTTTTCAAAGAGGCCTTCTTTGAGCTGTATAATTGTTTTGTGTCAGAAACGGCCGTTGATAAGTTGTGTTCATGTACAAATAACAATGTTATTATGTGAAGCTGCTTCCTGTTAGTGTCTTCAGGCAGAAAAAAATGCTTAGAAAACCTCAGCGAATCCCCCAAGTTTCCTTGGGATTATCCGGGATGACTTGGAATGCTAGCAGAATCCACATAGGATGATTAGAGGGGAGGCTTTCGGCACTCTTGAAAAACTCTCACGTTACTCTCTCCCTTGGGAAGCTGCTCAAGAACATGCTGTATTGGGAGTGCAAAGCCGCTAGGTCAATGGAATCATTTCTTTGTGACTTGGGAATTTCCCAGAGCCAGAAATGTTATCCAAGCTTCATCCCTGTGACTGAGGAAAATTGCATCAGCTGCGCACAGGATACCAGATCTCAATACAACATCTATTTAAGCAATGCCTTGGGTGGCAGATGTTGAAGCATGGTTACCGAACGCATGTGCTACCAAGTGCGCTGAAGGTGGGTTTATTCTAAGTTACCAGCAAACGTTTGAGAAAATATTTGGGAAAAGATCACGGCAGAGTAACATGACTGTTAGGAAGAAAAGTGGTGTTATTTGTGTGTGTTTGTGCACATACAAGCTGTGTGTATATGGTTCGTGTGCATATAGGGAAACCAAATATGCCTTGAATGAAAGAAGACAGACGACAGGTGAAATGGACTCTTTAGTTGAAGGTCAAGAGACTTTACTCTTGTCCTAGCTCTGTTACTGTCTAACTTCATGTCCTGGAATCATTATTTAGCTTTTCTTGCCCTTAATTCTCTTAAATAGAAACATGGGGGTTTGAAGTCACTTTCTGCTTCTTCTTTTTTAATTCCTAGATTCCAGAAGATGAAATTAAATAATGCTTTTTTTTCTTAAAAGTGGCTTGAACAAGACATATTTCAAAGGAAACAAAACATATCCAAAGAATAGCACTTAAAAATGTTATTAGCTTAGAATTTAAGCAAAACCCCTATGATTATTTTTCCTTGGGCCAAGGCTGTATCCACATACACCTGGATTAAAGTGGAAAATAATATGCCAATCTCCCAGATGGCTCTAAGTGTTTGATATCTGTCATCATGTGGGCCAAACACCTGGATGATTGCATGCATTTTCACTTTTTAGCCAGATGCTCTGAAATTATTGAGGTATGGCTTAGATAAAAAGTAGATGCTTTTACTCCAGAAGGCGGAATAGGGTACAATAAGAGGTAGAAAGAGAAGATGAGAAATTTTTGAGTTGCCTATTCCTTTGTCAGACTTTCCCTCATATTATTTTATATTTAATCTTCATAAAAAGACCATAAGGCATTATCCCCAAATACAGATTAGGAAACTGAAGCAAAGGAATTTAAATTATTTGCTAATGTCACATATCTAAGAAATATTAAAGCTGGGACTTAAAGGTTTATCATGGGGAGAACTATTAGAAATGAATGCAATTAAGTTCTAGGTAATGAAATTAAAAATTAAAAAAGAGTTGCTGCATAAATAAGATAATACAAACATCCATGTAAGATATAGAAACAGACAGAACTATTGCTACTATTGTTCAACTTTAGGACTTTTTAACCCAAACCTATAATAAGTGTCTATGCAAAGAGTAAGAAAAACCAGCCCAGGAGAAATGGCACAGTGTTGCATAGGTCTCTTGGTTGTGCCACACTTTCTTTGGCTCCGACCAGACAGTGAAATTGAACACAACTGTCTCATTAATTGTTTGACCTCCCTGGGGTTAGGAATTTTGGATAATTTTGTAGAAATAACATAGTTCGTCATATAAATGTATGTGAAATAGCATGCAAATATATGAATGATGATGATTTACTGGGGGGAGATTCTGAAGATTGGATTTTATAACTCCTTGTAAATAACCCGGGGGGTAAACTTCCCTCTGTACACAGCAAAAGCAAGTTGGCCCATCCCAAGGTTCTCAACAACGTCTTGATCTTTGGGGAAACAATGAATCAGATTCTTTCCCCTTTATATGCCAAGGAACACAAATTCCCAAGCCCACATGGAAAAGAAATCCTATGCACCTCCTACAAGACTCTGTTCTTCTATAAGGTAGAAATGATGACTCATAGCCAAAGGCTACTAGTTCTGATCAGAGAGACACTGCAAAGAGCAGAGCTGATTAACCTTTTAGAGAATTGTCAAGGGCAAAGCTACTCCACACTTTCCCAGACAGTAAGCATAGGAGAGGAGAATACTCTACAAATTGAAGAAAATAATATTTTGGGTCTTGAAGATAATCATGAAGAAATCCATGAAGGCAGATTTAGTCACAAGTTTACAATACCCCAGTTGCTGACCTGCTGGTTAGAGCACTGGGAAAAACATTCATTTTCTAAATAAATATAGGGATGAGAATTTACAGGGTAAGGAAATGGGGGTGAAGGAAGACAGATGAGTGTATAAATATTAGTTCCAAAATATGAGTGAGTGGGTTAGAGATAATGCACCCTCTGGAAATAGCAAATGTTGTAAGTTTTCAGAGAAAGAAATAAATCATAAGAGAATTTGGAATGCTTTTTATGGGCTGAAGTAGAAGGATATTAAATATCTTCAATAAGATTCTTGAGAGAAATTTTGTATAACTGTATTATTTAAATATTAGGGAAAAAATCAAAATCAGCCAAAATTCAACAGGGAATAATCTCTTTGGAAAACTTAACATATACGTATCTACAAATATGTAAGAGACCATGAAAGACTATGGAGACAAATGATGTGTCTATACACTCAGACCCTTTCTGACCGAGCCCCGCCCAGGGGCAGATGCTAAAAATGTCCAACACTCAAACTCACCCCTGCCCTGAGTTCAATCCAAGTCTGAACATTATTTTAGAGATCCCATCCTCCCTAATCAGTAGTGTCTGGAATTTTTCTTGCTGCCAATATGGGTATCTGAAATGCCTGCCTGGGGTTGTCCAAAGCTAGGAATAAAAGTGGCTAAAATGTACTCAGCATTGAGCTTCTGCCAGTTTTCTTTCTAAATACTTTATATACAGTATCATCTTTCAATCTCAAACAACCCTGTAAGATAGGTATTGCACTCTCTTTTTGTGGGGAGTGAGGACAGGTTCCAAGAGGTTAAGTGATGTGCCCCAGGACACTCAACTAGTAAGTCATGGAACTAGGGAACAAAGGGCATGCTAGTCACCACCACAGAGGAGCACATACCATTCCACATGTTTTCCCACCCAGCACACACTCACATTTTTTAAATTATAAACTCAGGGCACCTGGGTGGCTCAGATGGTTGGGCATCTGTCTTCGGCTTGGGTCATGATCCCAGGGTCCTGGGATCGAGCCCCATGTTGGGCTCCTGGCTTGGCAGGGAGTCTGCTTCTCCCTCTCCCTCTGCCTCTTCCTCTTCTTGTGCTCTCTCTGTTTCTCTCTCTCTCTCTCTCAAATGAATAAATAAAATCTGTAAAAAAGAGAAAAAAATAAAATTATAAACTCAACTAATACCCCCGATGGGTTTGAAACTCAACCTTACCTGGGTCTCCTTCCAACAGCGTCTGTATATTTGTCATTCTATCTTTTAAGACTTAAGGGGTTACAAAAATCAGCCCAATCCATGGACTTATACCATCTAACTGAACATACATGTCCTGTTCCTGTCACAAGCGTGGTCCCCTCAGAGGTGGAGCCAACTGGATCATCCCAGAGTTCCCTAAACCCCTTGGCACTGTACGTTGGAATTTTGTCATCGTGCACCAAGCCCAGCCATATAAAGGTATTTCTTCTTCCTCCCATGAGCCCTACCATGTCTTGATAAGTAATTCTTCATCCTCCACTGAACACAATTTATAGCCACGTTGGTCTCAGGCTGAGAACACAAAGTTTCTGTCATGTTCATATGACAGCTAAAATAGCAAAGTGCTTATTTCATTCCTCATATCCATGACACAATGCACCCCCATCAACTAAAGGAAACACTCAGCCATTAGGATGGTCTTGTTTCTTTCTAGATTGAGACCCTCAAGCCCCGCATTCCCCTCTCTCTGAGTTTTCCAGGTTTCAGAGCAAAACTATTAGAAGCAAAGAAGATGATATACTTTAGAAGATAGTGTCACAGATAACAGAGGCAGATCAACCTTTTTTACTTCAAAAAAACCTAAAGCTAAAATCAAAAAAATTTCACTGATGTTAAGGAAGACTGGCTACAGAATGGACAAAAAGTCCTAGGAGAGCTGAATTATAAATGCAACTTAAACTTTTCTAACCTTTTGGTTGTTTACACGTGAGCCACGTTAGCCTTGCTGATTATTTATCTATCTAATATATTTTTTCAAAAAACATTAAAAAATAACATTCATACAGAAAAGTAACAGCCATACATTTATCATTTAATAAATTTTTACAAAGTGAGTATCCCTGTATAACTAGCACCTAGATCAAGAAACAGACCACTCCAGACCCACAGAAGCCTCTTCATGTAATTTTTTTCACTCACCTCCACTCTGCCTCAGGGTAACCTCTCTCCTGTGACTTCTTAAATGAAGATTTTTTGTGCCTGTCTTAAACTTTACATATATAGAATCATGCAATACGAACTATTTGGTGAGTAGGTTTTTTTAATCACTAAACATAACATTTCTGAGAATCATCCATGTTGTTATAAATTACTGTACTTCCATTTAGCATTTTCTGTATAGTATCCCATATGAATGTCATGATTTATTTATGCATTCTATTGAACATGGATGTTTGAGTTGATTTTTCATTATTATGAGTATACTTGATGCCCAATGTATATACGTGCCTTTTGATAAACATGTGTATTATATTGTTCTGTTCTCCCCAGTAAAATATGCTCACATTAGTAGCTATCAAATTCCTTCCCACTGGTTTGGATTATGTATCCAATGTGGTAAGATGATTTTGTTTTGCATCTCAATTCTGAACTCCATAGCACTGGCAACCCTTTTCAGTTTCCATTATCTGCAAATTTTAAAGTAAGTTTCTTCATTCTTCTGACAAATCATTTTGGAACATTAAATATTTTTAAGTCTGGTATAACATATTATATTAGGCTGTTCATCTCCAACCCTAGGAAGAATGTGGGAAGTACTAAAATTTGTTATTGTTGCTAAGAGGCCAGAGAGTTTTTTAACAACTCTCTCAAAATTTAGTTCTCTGCTTTAACCTTGCCATTTCCACCTCATATTTATAGTATTCTTCAGCTAACTTAGACTGTTTCTTCTAGGAAAAAAGTAATTGCAGTATTTTATAGTGAATTTATTTTATGTATTACCCCTTCTGGTTAAATTTACATTTGAGAAAACTTCTGTACAAGGAACTCTCCACAGGAGTACATCAGTAGAAGTTTCAGACATTATAATTTGAGTTAAGTAGATATTGTGGTATAGCAGAAACATCCCAGACACCTCAAATACGTGATACTGGCATGCATGTGACATTTATAACTGAAATGGGCTGGTCCATTGAGTACCAGTTTAAAAAAAAAAAAAAAAAACTTAATTGAGGATTATTTCATCTTTATGATAAATAATTTTAAATTTGAGAAGTTTTCATTAATACTTTTAGCCAGGGCTGGATGGGGCCAGTGGCTGGAGGAACAGAAAAGAAAACAGATGTTTTGATCCTATGTCTTTCCCCCACTCTGAAGGTTGACTCTTTGCTCTGAATATCAGATTCCTCTCTACCATAGTTCCATTCCACCTTTTGGTCTGGACGGGAAAGTCTAACACAAGCTAGAACTTCACTCTTAATGGAAAAGTCTTCCTGTCTTCTTCAATTACTATCTTCCCATACGTAATGATAATTAGGTCAAGTTTCTTCCACAGACAAATATGTTGCTAAGCTATGCAATGGAAAATGGTTACTAGATTTTTCCCCATGATAAAATAAGATAAATTGATGGAATAGAGGAATCAAGTCAGCCATTAATAAGTCTTTTTAAAAAATTGGGTTAGCTTGTGATCTATTTAATGAGATCTTAATATCTCATGGTATGAAGTTCTCATCTAGAGGTAGCTTTCCACATTTTCTCTCTCCCGTGCCCATAGCATATCAGTCTTATAATTCCTCCCCTATGAGTCCACTTCCTTGGAATCCACCATATAGCTCTTTAAGTAGTTCCTAATAATTCACTGAAGTAGGTACATGAAATGAAATCTCTTTGCTATTCTTAATCTAGGAACTCTAAACCCAAGTGATAAAATTAGTCTTGGCACCCAAAATGACATAACTGAATATGTTTATTCTTTTTATGTTTTTAGGTCTGAGAGAAGAAAAGAATAGAGTCAGGTGGTAGGGGTGTGGGGCTAGAGAAAACAAGGGAGGTGTTACAGGTAGGGAAGAACTAGGGGAAGCTGGGGACAGACCGGTTGGTGATCAGAATAAACAGCCATGGTGTGTTAAAGAAGTTATTAACATCCGCATTCTAAACAGCAGCTGAGTATACACTGGAATAGATAAGATTAAATACCTTGGAAATGACCTAAGACAACCATAGTTGAGGGAAAATAATTAAGTCAGTATTTGAAAACAAAAACAGAATTAAAATGATTAAATTGATTTAGTTGATTGTACTTAAGGATTTTTTTTCTTCCTTTAGTGCCTTTTTTAATTACTGTATTTCAAATTTCTAAGAGGAAAAATACCTAGTTAGGTCCAATTTTTTAAACGAAAAAAATCATAGTTTCAGGAAATAAGATATGTAACCCAGTTCAGTAAATTTAGGTGACAAAATAGAACATTAGAAAAATAAGAAACTTTCAGAAGAACTGTCCTAAAAAACAGCATGCCAAATAATTTCTATATACAATTCACTCTCAGGGAAATGGAACACAGCACCCCACACTAAGAGTGGGCAGGGCTTAGGGACTTCCTTCCAGAGAGAACAGTATAGGGGTCAGGGGGGAGGGGCATAACTTACTGTGGAGAATCCGGACCAACACTACCTCAGTCGAGTGATGAAGGTCACCCTCAACAGTAATAAGTCATATTGATAGCAGATACTCTTGATAGGATGTGATGAGAATAGCACTTTACTTCAATGGTCGGCCTCCCCAAAACCCATAACTCAGCTAGCTGTAATCATGAGAAAAACATCAGATACATTCCAACTGAGGGACATTTCACAAAGTACCTGATAAGTACTCCTGAAAACCACAACTCAAGAATCATCAAAAACAAAAACAAAAAAACCCCAAGAAACTGTCACAGACAGGAAGAGTGTAAGATGACGTAACAGGTAAATGCAACATAGTCCCGTGGATGGGGTCTTGGGGCAGAAAAAGAACATTAGATAAAAACTAAGGAAATCTGAATAAAGTATGGCCTTTAGTTAAAAATAATATATCAATATTGGTTCATTAATTGGAAACACACTGCACTACTGTGAGATGTTACTAATACAGGAAACTGGGTACAGAGTGGATGGGGACTTACTGTACTATCTTCAAAATGTTTATGTAAATCTAAAGCTACTTTGAAATAAATGTTTGCTGGGGCGCCTGGGTGGCTCAGTCAGCTAAGCGTCTGATTCTTGATTTCAGGTTGATTCTTGAGATCAGGTCATGATCTCAGGGTTGTGAGATCGAGCCCCACTTCAGACTCGGCGCTCATCACAGAGTCTGCTTGAGATTCTCTCTCCCTCTCCCTCTGTACCACTCACTCCCCGCTTGTGCACATACTCTCTCTCAAATAAATAAAGTCTTTAAAATAAATAAAATAATTAATTGTTTGCTTGAAAAAAGAAAAACAGCAGCCCCCCTTTTTGGAGATAGAAACATCAGAGCAGTATATGGGGACTGTGGTCCTGGAGGTACAAATCCTCAGAACAGCTCACCACAAGACTCTTGTGGGCCTTCTTCTCTGGAAATCTTTGAAGACAGGTGGAGCCATCTTGTCTCTAGGAATTGTGGAGGTCTGCTACAATGTAGTAGATAGGTAGATTGGAATCAATAAATTCTGGTCCCCTCTGGCTCCCTTGTTTTATGAGTCTATTATTTATTTATAACATTAGATATCAGCTACCTATGGGTAAACCTAATTTCCATTTTTATTAACACTCTCACAGAGGCTGAGTTTCTCTCAGACTTGGGTTGAATCTTATGTTTGCATGATAGTAGTATAAAAAAGCATTATTCCTATTTAGGTATTATCAAATGCTTTACTTTCTCTAATAATATGAGGAGGCAGGCTTGTTTGGCATGAGTTTCTTTCCAAATAATTTCAAAATGACTGCTTGTAGCCTTTAGTTATCTTCCAGGTGCTGACAAATTCATACTAAGACTTATACAAAGTTCTCATGACTCTTCCCAGACATGCACAGATGCACCAATACGATGGTAGAATCCTACATGTTTGCTCTTATATAAATATCCCCCACATAATTATATAAGGCCTAGTGCTTATCTACACTTATCTCTGGTATAACATTCCTTTGTTTCA